CACTTTCACCAACGTGTCACTGAACTGGTCGAGTGCTCGTTGAGAACATCCCAGTGGATGCTGCGTCTGTTCACTGGGAAAAAACCCAAACTTGGAACCAGTTCAGCTTTTGTTGTGACAGCGCAGAGAAAAATCCCTTTGAGCACTGATGGTGTGAGCACAGTGTGAGGCAGAGGGTCAAATAGAGGAGAGGAAGCACAGCAGCCCTGTGGTAATGATGAAAGACGGCTCAGCACCCAGTTGGCTCATGACAGAGGGAGCTACACTTGGAGCTCTGCTACAGACACAACTGTGCAGAAACAATAAGGACTAGACTTCCTGCACCATGGTTTCAGTTTGCTTCAGCTCACAGCTGTTGGTTTATGCACAGCTCTCTGTAGGTCCTGTTGTGAAACCTTGATTCTGCTGTAGGGTTTCTTGGCACCATGTCCTGCTGCTGTGTGACCCATTTTAGGTCAAGCCTTTGTATTTAGACAGGCAGCCTCACATTTGACTTCATACAATGACTTCAGAGTGCCCAAAACCCAAACAACCCCACATCGCCACCACGTTGCCCACCATGTTTGACAGTGAGGCTAATATGCCACGTCTGCTTTGTGGCACTGTGAGTTGGAGCATCTCAGCTGTGGTCTTGTGGTCCACAAGGCAACTCTTTTCTTTCTTTCTTTATAAATAGAAGAGAAGCTTTGCCCTAACAATCCTTTCAAAACAGTTACGTCTGAGCGCTGCATGGTTTGAGGGTAAGTTTCCTGGGACTCCTGTGGCATTAACACACTCCTACATGCTAACCACACCTGCACATACGTGACTCCTGTTGCAGTTTTCCTGAAAGCTGCACAGCACGAACTCTGAAGTTTACAATGTTGTTCTTGATGTTTCCTCTGTGACCGTTGTAAGTGCCAGTTTGTGCGTTTGTATCACAGCCTGTCTGACTGTTTCAGTGGTGTGGTTAATCTGCTGTTTTGTTCCCCTCTCTTATCTGATTTTATTGGCACTGTGGGGAAATTGTACACCATAATTCAGTTTGGGTTCAGTTATTATGAACTGACAGTACTGGCTTAGTAAAACTGTTAAAGAGCTACATGAACATGTAAAAAGGAGATGATCTGAGAAACCAAGAACAGAACATGTGACATCCCACCGATGAACGTTGTTTGTAATGAAAACTGACTGTTAATGCAATAAATAAAAGAAGCTGTCAATGAGTACTTGTAGTAATCCTAAAGCATTCAGTCTGACTACGAACAGCTTTGCATTTAAAGACACACTGACACTTCTTTCATTTGGTCTTTTGAGGATTAGAGACTAAAGGAAAGCAGCTTTGTGCGCTCAGTACGAGCATCCTCTGTCCTGGGCTGCAGGCACACGTCAACATGCTGAAGGTTAACGAGCCTTCAGTGACTCGTTGTTGGACAACGGTGACAGGCAGCTAGGACAACACCGCCATTGTTCACAGCTGTAGGGGAGGAGCGTAGCTGCAGGGCGCCATTCACCTTGGGTGGTTTGAAGGGGTAGTCTGGTGTGAAGGCGATGTCCAGGAAGAACACTCCCCCCTCGTACACGGAGCCTGGAGGGCCCAGGATGGTGGACCTCCACTCGTAGATGTTGTCTCCTTTAGGGCCGGCGCTGCAAAAATAAAAGAGGAAGAAGAGAAGAGAATCTTTTTACCGACACGTGAAGAAGAAGCTGTTTGTGTTTCAGTCACTGTGGCAGGAAATGACTGAAGTCTGTAATCATCACACGCACAGAGCTGACATACAAGACTCAGACCTTTGTGGAGTATTAATATCAGTGCAGGGCTGATGTCAGTGCATGTGGATGCAAGCATGAAACACAGCTACAAGCACACACACACATGCACACAGACACACACACACACACACACGCACACAGACAGCTGTGAGAGGAGATATTCCAGATGCTCCTGTCAGTTCTTCTCTGTCATCACTGACGCAGTGACAGGAAGGTGTGTGCATGTGGGGACAGACTGTGGGCGGAGCTGTTGGTGTGAAACAGCAGGTGGTTATGAAGCGCCGGCCGCTGCAGACGTGTTTGTTGTCAGCGTGTGTTTGGACACAGAGAGGAATTATGGAAGCAGGCTGGAGAAAGGATGTTCCTCTGGATGGATAAAAATAGTCCGGCCTGTCGCAGTGAGCCGGGGCCGGCGGGGACCCGAGGCCCACACGTCCGCCTGAGGCTCAGAGAAATCTGTGTTTGTGTGTCAAACAGTTTTTACTGCCAGTGGCTGGATTCATCGTGGACACTGACAGAGTATTTCAGTTATTTTAATTTATTTCAGGTTCAAGTATCCACATGCACTTTAAACAGGGAGCACAGTTTATAGTTGTGTGTTACAAACATGCCAGCTGGGAAATCTGCGTCCATTTGACTCATAACGTAACACCTGTATAGACGTAATCTGAAACAGGCTCAGGCCTCAGTCACACAGGCCGAGGGGCAGTCAGTCGCTAGGAACAAGGGTTCCTAAAGGTTCTGCTGGGGGAACAAAGAGGTGCTGACACAGAAACGCTGGCACTGCCCTGGTGAGGAAGGACTGCTGAGGCTGCTTGGAGTCTGCAGAGACTTGCTAACTAACCAGCACCATTCAAACTGAAACAGAGAGCGTTTGCTTTCTAAGTAAACCTCGTGACCACTGAACTGCTAACTACAGCTGACTGTGTCAACACGCTCCTGACCAGAGCACGTGCAAAGATGTTTCTGGTATATGTCACCTGGCAACCTCCTGCAACCACTCATCCACTGGTCTGGGACTATAGTGACGTGGCTGCGATGGGATCACTGACACACTTTAGTGATTTCACATCTCCAGCAGCAGCAGTGGTTGCTGACTGGGAATAACCTCCGTTTACTTTCTCACTAACATTATTTTCTTTCCAATGCTGCACTGATTTGTGAAATCCTCACCAACTACAATATTTTAATCACTAATATCAATGCAAACACATTTTGCTACTAACAGAGACATCGTCTGAATTTTTATGCAATCATAGAATTTCTTATAAAGGAGTCAGAGGAGGTGGTTCAGGCACCTGATTAAGAGGCGTTGCACACATGCTGGAAAAAAGCAGAAGCAGACCCGGACCTGGCCGGAGAGATGATGTTGGTAAGGCCTCAAAGCCACTATGAAGAGCGGCTGAGGAGAAGGATCCTCAAATAATCTGCTGAGCCTGCAGCACTGTGGAAGATAAGGCAGCGGTCTCCAACCCCCGCCCCACGGCCCGGTACCGGGCTGCGAGTCGTTTGGTCCCGGGCCGTGAGAGTTGAGGCTCGGGTGTGAAATTGATGGTTTTCAGGGTTTTTATCGTTAACTTTGTTTCCCTGGGTCTTTCCCGTGTTGTAGCTGTGTGTCTTATTTTGAAAGGAATGTGTTACCATAGCGACCAGAGAGCATTAAGGAGCAGAGAGGAGGATGTTACACTTCAGGAGGACGCTGCTAATAAAGTTACACAATTACACAGTTAATTTGTGTTTATTATTATATCTACAAAATACCAGTTTTTGTCGTATCTGTTATTTTGTCGTATTTATCCACCACACCTTAAACTCTGTCTGTGAAAATACTGTCTGACATCTGTGGGCACCGCTGATCATTCACAGCAAGGCTCACTGTAAATAAACTCCTGTTATTGTCACCCAAAATTACGCGGTTGCTTTTCGACATGTTGTGTATTTTTCACACTAGTTTTACCCTTTATTTCACGTGTTACACAAACAGTGTTATGGATGAAAGTTGATTGAGTCTCTTGGCAAACCTTTTGTGAACACTGTCACAGAGCTCTGAGTGAAGCATGTGGATTTTAAATCACTGAATGATAGGGGTGGGAAAAATGGATACTGTGTAGCATGGTGATATTTTGTTTCTAATAATGTATGGATACAGGGACAGCAGAAATCGATACTTTGTTACAAAAAGGTTTTTGTGCTCTGACTTCAGAGCATGTTGAGCCTTTTTCTGAGCAAGAATCCTGACATTCCTTCACTGTCCAAATGTG